ATGTATTGCAAACTTCGATGCCACTGTTTTAAATATCTTCTCCAGAGAAAATTATCATTTCTAACAACACCAGATGTCGGAAACAAATGTTGAAGTTCATATGAAACACTTGAAAGTACCAGTGAAATGAAACTGATATTTTAATTACCTGTGTTTCCACAATTTCACTGAACTTTGAAATTTTTTTTCTCAAGTTCCATGGGACATTATATTGGTGTTATTTCAGGCAAATATTTATGTCTTTAGTTTTCAGAAAATGTAAAAAGGACTGTTGTAATACTTAAAATTATTCTGCAGGTCAGGTACATGTACAAGCCGGTTTTTTTGTCCACTTAAAACTGATATGCTCAATCTCCTATCAGATTTTGTGTTATAAATAACCTGAGTGTGAACCTTGCCAGCACTTGGACAAATTTTGTTGTGTGTTTGTTTCACACTACACTCCACATAACATCTGCATGTTTTAGACCTGACTCTCTGCTGAGCATTATTTAGTTAGCACAATTAAATGTTAAATTTTTTAGTGATATTTATCCCTGGGCTTATATTTTCCAAACAATGCTTTTTGTTAAGCTTGTTGTTTGAGTCATGAGTTAAGAGGAGGGGAATGGAGGGGGCTAATGTTGTAAGTGAGAATTTTCTGGGACCACACAGTCCTGTTCCGAAATTACTGCTCTGAGGGTAATCTTCTAACTTAACAGCTGCTCAACAATAACGCTTTAAATCTAGCATATAAAGTGCGTGTTTGTAAATCAGACTTTGACTGTCATACTAAAGACTATATCTAACCGATATGTTTTAGTAACTAGAAAGAGTTTACAGTACAAATTTTAATTAAAATGCTTTGCTAATTTGCATTCCTTTATTAGGCTTGATTACAGCTAAAATTTAGATATCTGATGACAATAAAATATTAGGAACATATTGTATGTACAGCATCAAGGTAATTAAACAGATTTCTGTGAAAGGAATGCCTTGAGCTATTTTCAGGGTAACAAACATTTTTAACACAAGAACTAGTAATTAAATGTTAATTCCATCTGTGATCGAACACAGCTATTTAATTTGACCTCCATGTGCGTGAGTTGGGTTTGAATACTTTTGAGTTGTCATTTAAATCAATAATACATGTAACAGAGATGTCAAGACATTGTATTTAAAGCTTAAAATTAATTTCATTTACAAATCTGTCAGTAGTGTAATTTAAATAGTGACACAAAATCTTCAGGTCTGCATGTTTTATAATTTGTCTGACCATCTTGTTTAATTTTAAAGAGTGAATACTGAAAACAGGAAGACTTATTGAAAATTTTCCATCAACATGCTCATGAATTCTTTATGAGTTACAATGGTTTTTTTGAAAACGAACTAAGAGACAGATTGCACAAACAACTTTTTAGAAATAGTCTTGCTGCCAAGGAGTTTCAAAATGGGGTCGGCTGTAATTCACAAGAGAAAAGCCAGCTACCATGGCCCACAAGGTGGAAGAAGTAATAGTGGCATGGTAAGAGAAAGGAAAAATAACTTGATATAAATATATCTGAATTTCATAGACAAGAATAAACCATCATTATGTACAACCAATTTGGTGTACAATACTGAAAGAAAATAAATTGAAGGTCACACTGTAGCTCTAGGTAGATTATGAATTTCAAGTTGTTGAATTTTAGGGGATCAACATTAAGTCTGAATAAAACTATAGTTTCAATATTGTTTTCTAAAACACAAAATAATCTTTTTGACATTTCAGTAAGTCATGGATTAACAGTGTTTTCAAGTATTGTTGCTCTTTACATTCATTCTTGCATCTTATGGAAGTAACATTGTATTTCATTTTTGATAACACTCTGACTTGAAAGTTCTTGCATCACACGAGTTGGTACTGTACCTGTATGAAATAATGTTCATGCACAAGATATTATAAC